CAGTACAAAAGTAAAGAAGCGGCCCGTGGACACCAGACATGCCTTGGCTGATCCACAACGTTTGGGCTAAGGAGGCTCTGATTTTTTTGTTGAAACATTCCTTTAAAGTGGAACTTCATTTAAGGTGGCTCAGAATTTGAGGTGGAACGTCATTTAAGGTGGCACAGAATTTAAGGTGGCAGTAAATTTAAGGTGGAACTGCATTTAAGGTAGCACTGAATTTAAGGTAGCAGTAGATTTAAGGTAGCATTGAATTTAAGATGGCAGTGAATGTAATAGCTTATTAATATACGTTGTGTGCTTCACATGTTACAAAGGTGTCATAAAGCATCCACAGCTGTAACAGATGTGCAGAGGTGGGCAATTAGACAACAGCTGTTGCAGCCGCCGAGATAGGCTGCATTTCTCGGCCGCTGTGTCATAGAAGGCTGTTCCATAGTGAAGCACCCTTCATAGTACAGCCTAGAAATGCAGCCTTCGTTTTGAGTGACTTCAGGGACGCAACTGATGTATCCTTCCAGGCCTTCGGTTACCCACAGTTCTCTGCGCACGAATGACACGAAGGAAAAAAAACAGCATTGCGAAAATGACGGAAAACAAAGCCGTTGGAGTGGAGCTTGTTTTAAAACGTAAGTTGTTCACGTGCTTAAATTCGTCTTCACTGGCTGGTCTGCCAAACCTCAGCCTCCGGGCAGCTTGGATTACAGGCGCAGGCCACTGTGCCCGACTGTGTTTATTTATGTCCATATGTGTTTTTCATGTACGTACACATTTTTCCGACACATAAGCCTAAGACTAGACTAAACAGGATTTGTAATGTTGAAACGACATTGTTTCTTCCAATTCCAGAATTATTATTTATTTTGTAGTGTTATCAGGTTGGTTATTGTTGTTGCAGTCTTCTGTACACAATATTAAAAAAACAGAACGAAAGTTTTGCAGCAGAGTTTCAGTCTACATAAGAAAGTACAGACAGAAGAAAGAGGAAACCATACAGGGTAATAAACCTACCAAAACTACAAAATTGGCATCTTATAACTGAATTACTTTTATATTTATTCATAGTTAGGGTACAAATGTGCACCTGGTTTAAGATTTGATTAGATTCTGGATACTGGGTTCACAGTTTGGTAGTCTCTGGATATTTTGAACACATTTGGTGTGTGGGGGACGTTGGCCCAATCCCATTTCTTATCTTTACCTCTACCTCTTCTTTTCGAGTGTCTCCTTGCCCCTTAGAACTGAGTTACAGGGGTAGTGGTTGAAATCTTCCTCTATGAAATGGGACCCTCAAACAATAAGAGCATTACTTCATTAACAGCTACTAGCGCTGCTCTGTAGGCGACCCTGCCAGTCTGCAGTGACAGCAGAGGAGGGTAAAGTTCAGCTCCTCACTGCTGGGCTTTAGTTACATTTAAGGCATCATATGATTCCAAAGCGGGGCAATTGTTTATTATCACCCCCCTAATTCTTTAGCCAGCTTCTTGTTTAAAGTTTCCCGTTCCACCTTAAATGGAGTAGCAGTTACATTCTGGCGCTTCAGGCGTCAGAACTGCTGCACTATTTGAGGTGGAACAGGAAGTTTAGCTAGCTACCCTGGTAGCAAGAGGACAGTGGTCCACTGTCGGCCCGCTAATGGCAAAGCTGACGGTCCACTGGCGTTTTGCTCAGCGTTTTCCGGGTGGTCCACTGGCGGTTAAGCAGAATATTAGACAAAATTCCACTTATCATCGCTCATTTTCCACTCAGAGTCCAATTTGCTGATTTTCCTTCCTTCCTTTCTTTAGTTATACTTTGTAAATTAGATTAGTAAATAATTTTAATCCAGCTCAGCTTTAGCAACAACACCTTTCTATAGAATCATTTTATATCAGGCCTGGTCATTATTTCTTTTTCTCTTGGTTGTTTGTAAAATTTGTGTTTATTTTCTAAAATAAAAGTCTCTGTGCATTTAAAATTCTCATTGAGGAGATTGAAAACTAGGTAGAGCTTGTATGCAGGACAATAATCTGGGCGGTCCTAGGGTGGACCAACAGTGGCAAACGGTCAGGGGGGTGCCGACCTTTTCAAAACAGCGGACCGATATATGCTTGTTGTCTGAGTAGCTACCGAGACATTAGCATACTATTAGCGATTTTTTATGCTTATTACAAAGAAAAGGACCATAATACACAGAAACAACATTAAACTAAGAAAATATAGTGATTATTGTGTTTTATTAACTGAGAAAATTCTCACGTTTGTGGGTTTCTTTGGTCTCTTGCTCAGCCATCTTGCTGGTTTTTCTCTTTTTCTCATAACTCTCTGTTTGGAGTCTCTGAAAAACCTCTGTTTGGAGGGTCATGTAGCCCCAACACTTCACCCCACCCCTCTATCTCAACAAGAATCGGGACACCCTACCCCTAGAACTCAATGCGTAAAATGGAGGACTAAGGGCTAAGTGGTAGGGGCGAGGGGTGAAATGGGACTGGGCTGTTAACGGGACAAAACTAATCTGGTTTGAAACTGGGTTGTTAAATGCAGGGTGCGAAAAGCCATTCATTTTCCTCATAGAGAAAACCAGCATAGACATGGAACTGCTAATATGGGCATGACAGCAAATACAGAATGGTGCAGGCCTTCACAGGTCTAAAGACTATTCCCTACATACAAATGGACGTTTCTTTTCATTGAATTTGATCAATATCTAATTCAATTTTGAACGAATGTGGAAAAATATTGCGATTTTTCTGACTAATATTGCAACTGCAATTTCAATTGCAATTTTTAAAAAAAAATTGATATCCAGGCCTGATTTTTTTGGCCAAGAAGTCCAGAACATCCACATTTTTTGGCTTGAGGCTCAACCCCTGGACAGAGTGTGTCAAACTGCCAGGAAGTAGTGGTTTTGGTGTCACAACAACAGGAGGTTTGGTTGCCTCTGATTGGTCTAACTCATCTACAGGCAGTTCACAAACTCTTATTAGGTTCCGTTTCCCCTCTTAAAACTTAAAACAGTGTTTTTGCTAACGTACACACTTAACACAGATGGTTCTTCAAGGGTTCTTTAGTAACAACAGTGGTTCTGTGTGGAACCATAAGAACTCAGCAACCCATTTGCATGCATAAAAAATGGTTCTTCAGATTGATGGAGAATTTGTTGTATATGGTTCTATATAGAACCTTTTTGAAAAGAGTTCTCTATAGGACCAAAATGTTCTTGTATTGTTGTAAGCTTGACATCAACAAGCAACAAAGTAACAATACCACAACCCTTTTTTTGATGCTATATAGAACCACAAACAACACATTCTCCAATCTGAAGAACCAGAGTGTTCAAGGTTCTATATAGAATGACTGTCTTTACTAAAGAACCATCTTTTAAGAACCTTGACGAAGTATATTTTTAAGGGTGTAGGCTATAATTAAAGAAAATTTGCTCCTCTTGCGATTTGAAAATTGTCTTAAATTGTGATTTTGATATAAAAACGATGAATCTTTCAGCCCTGGTCTGAAGCAATCTGGGAAATATACCGCTTGTTAATTGTTTTTACGATATTGATCTTTGTACAAATGAGCCCACAGTCGGTGTTTTACTCTGTGCTTTAACTATGATTGATTTGCCAGTGTGTTTTTAATACAAACCCATTTCCAATAATGTTAGGACGCTGTGCAGAATGTAAATAAAAATAGAATTCAGTGACATGGAATTCATATAAACCATATTTTTAAAGGAAAATACTGCAAAGACAACAAATCAAATGTTGAAACTGAAAAATGTTATTGTTTTTTGAAAAATATATGCCCATTTTGAATTTGATGCCAACAACAAAAAAGTTGGGACGGGGGCCTGTTTACCACTGTGTTTCATCACCTCTTCTTTTAACAACATACTGTAAGTGTTTGGGAACTGAGGAGACACTGCTGTAGTTTTAAAAGTGAAATGTTTTCCCATTTTTGTTTAACATAGGATTTCAGCTGCTCATCAGTTCGGCAACTCCTTTGTTATATTTTTCATTTCATAATGTGCCAAATGTTATCAGTGGTGACAGGTCTGGACTGCAGGCAGGCCAGTTTAGCACCCGGACTCTTTTAATACAGAGCAATACTCAGTCCATTTTAAATGAGCTCTGGCCCAGAGAAGGCAGCGGCGTTTCTGGGTCCTGTTTATATATGGTTTCTTCTTTGAGTTTAAGAGTTTTAACTTGTATTTGTGGATGCAGCATCAGACTGTTTTCACAGACAGTGTTTTTCTGAGCCCATGCAGTGATTTCCACTACAGAATCATGTCTGTTTTTAATGCAGTGTTGCCTGAGGGCCCAAAGATCACAGCCAGCAAATACTGGTTTTTAGCCTTGTCCCTTGCATACAGAGATTTCTCCAGATTCTCCGAATCTTTTAATGATATTATGTACCATAGATGATGAAAAACAAAAGTTCTTTGCTATTTTATATTGAGAAACGTTATTCTTGAACTGTTGCATTATTTGCCCACTCAGTCTTTCACAGAGTGGTGATCCCCTCCTCATCTTTACTTCTGAAAGACTCATTTTATACCCAATCATGTTACTGACCAGGTGCAAATTAACCACCAGGTGCTTTTTTCAAGCATTACACAACTTTCCCAAGCTTTTCTTGCCCCCGTCCCAACTTTTTTGGAATGTATTGCTGGCATCAAATTCAAAATGGCCATATATTTTTTGAAAAAAACAATACAAATTTTAAAGCATTTTCAGTAAAACATAGGGTTTAAACGATTTGCACGTCATTGCATTTTGTTTTTATTTACATTTTTCACAGCGTTCCAACTTTTTTGGAAATGGGGTTGTATATTGCGAGGCAGATGGATATTGCAGTCACAATATTCAGCAGTAAAATCGCAATGTTTTTTCTCCATATCACGCAGCCCTGGCAGCGGCCACAACTGTTTACAGGAAACACAAAGAGAAATTCACTTACAGTAATCAGTAATATCAAGGGTGAATATTTAACTAACAGCTTTAAACTCCAGACATATCAGGGCGCGGCTCTCCCTGCCTCGAAGACAAGGCTCTGAAACAAAGAGATTTGTTTTGGTGTTTGTTCTCGTAGTAGTCTCGCCGCTGTTTGCGTTATGTCATGATTGTACAGCTCTTGGATTAGCTCATGGAACTTTCTGGGAGGGTCCCACTCAGACTGCAGGTACGTATGGGATGTTTGAGAACTATGTAAGTATCGAGGAAGTCGGTCAGCTGTTGGCACTGCATGGTGTCAGGGTTTAAACCGTGTCCAGTGGAAGATCAGGATGAGATTACTCCAGTCATGTGTTTCCTTTTCTCTATGTATATTTTTTTTGACAGAGCATTATACAGTAAGGATGTATGTGCTGATATTTAATAATAAGGGATACGGCAATATTCAACAAACACAATATTGGTATTATATGCATTATAAATACTGTTACTGCATTGTAGTCAAGCAAGATTGACTTAAGGTTTCATTTTTTAGCGTACGGTTACGGTGCTGTCGTTTCATACTCTGTGCTATGTAGAGTAGCACCCAGTCTGGAGAACAATAATCTCATTAAGACCAATTAAGTCCAAAAATCAGGAATCAAGAAATTAACGAAATCCCCAAAATGTATAATCACCATCACATTATTGCTATTAAAAATGACATTCAGAATACTACGTCTCGAGTCATGTGACTTGGACTCGAGTCAGACTCGAGTCACCAATTTGATGACTTTAGACTCGAGAAAATCGAGAAAGTGATAATCCCAAACATTCAGTGATGTTGAGGTCTGGACTCTGGGGTGGTCAGTCTGTTGTTCAGCTTCTTTGTTTGATGTGTCCGTCTCCTTTTCTCAGTGAGGTTCTTCTTGACAGCTACACATCCTTTCAGACCCACAGCGCTGAGTCGTCTTCTCACAGTGGAAGGATGGACAGAAACACCTGTGGATGTTTTCAGATCTGAAGCAGCTTGATTTTCTCCTCTCTCTCAGAGATGAAAGCTTTAAGTGCTGTTTATCTGATGGGGGCAGTTTTGGTGTCTACCAGGTCTTCCAGGTGGTTGTTAGGAGCCCCACTTTCTGTGTAGCTTTTTTTTTGAAACTCCTGCTTATTTTCCTTTGACTTTCGTCTTCCTTATGCAAGTGGATCGTCTTCTAATCTCCTCAGAAATATCTCCCAAAAAATTAATAACTTGTACTGAATGGCCCTTTTTTTAATGTTTTTCTTATCCATTCAAGAGCATTTAAACCTTGAGCAGTCAAACCTGACATTATTGATTTATGGCAAGCAAGGTTATTTAATATGAGCTCTCGTTTCAGTGTCTGTGTTACTGTTCTGGTTTTTACATCCATCTCTAATAGGTTTTAATTAGCTTCAGTTTGAAGGTGACAGCATTGTCTGGACATGTTACAACACTGAATCAGAATCAACCAAGGCAGCTGTTTTTTTCTAATGAATTAGATACGTGCACTGGTGTGATGAAGTGAGATGTATTATCTTCAGCGCAGTCTTTCTCTGGTGTTCGTAGTGAGTATGGATGTTTGGTGATGCCTGCAGATAATTGCTTCAAAAAATGCTCAGCATCCGACAGGCGTTTGGATTCGAACAGTATTTTAAACCAATATTTGATGATTTATTGTACTCCTGTATTTATTGTACTCCAGAAGAGCTGAGTGTTTTAGGTGATGTGGGGTTACTGTGTCTAAACGTCTGTGTTTTATTCATTTTACTGCATTTGTATTATATAAATAAATGTTATATTTCTCGTTAATGCTGTTCCAGATACATTTACTGCCTGGAATACATGCTGGTAGCACGTCATACGCTACCCCGGGCACAAGGAGGACGCTGGGGGGCAGGATTCAGGGCTGCAGCAGCCATTTAAGTTTTAATCACACACCAAATAAACACAACAACCAAACAAAACCCACTTTTCAGTGGCTTCTAACTAGACTTTTCACTCCTTTTCTTCGCTGGAGCTTTTCAGCTCTTCGCTCAGTCTCTCATTAAGGGCAGCGTGAGCACCCGAGCCGAGAGGGAACGAGAGTTCGTTGGTCCACCTCCTTGTCACCGCCCCTCACTCGCAGCTTGTCCGCCCAGATCGAACGTGCGGGACCGGAGGCAGTGTCCAGGAGGCAGCGTTCAGGACTCGCGCGGTTCATCTCCTCATCGGGCTTCGTCCACACTCGGAGATCAGGCCCCGCCTTCCCGCCGGCTCCCGCGGCCACCATTGGGACCCGGTGGACGGGTGCACGCCACAGCTTTCTATGATTTATTGGTGTTTATGTATCAGTATTGGCAGATATGTGCATTAAAACTATCAGCCCAAAATTCCCATATCAGTGCATCTTGAATTTCTTATTGAAATTGTGCTGCATACAGAGACCCTTGTTGAACTCCAGATCACTGGTAACAGTGTCAGCAGATATTTGCTTAATGTCATCAGTCAGATTTGACCGATATTTTGTGACTAGAACTACATCTTAACTAGAACTAGGCTGGTCAGCTAGCTAACGGGCTAAAAGCTAACAGGCTTAAAGCACTTATGGTATGATTAACCGTAAAACGGCAGTATAAAAGTCTAAAAAATGTCACTTGATTGGATTACACGCTTTAAATGTTCGTGTTTCAGTCAGAAGTAGCCTCAAACCCAGGCTGAATTTCGTTAGTTTTGATGACGTATTTCCTTGATAGGACCCTTACTGTATGACCCAGATTGTCGGTGGGTTTGATATGTGGTCCCAGCTGGCCACAGTAAAGCCATTTCATTAGGTTCAGTGTGTAGAACCAGAGCTTTCTATGTGCTGCCGTATGGTGTATCACTGCCGAAGCTTCTTTTATTGTTGGCTGTTGTGTTTTTTGTACGAGTTTGAGCTCATTCAGACTGGCAAGAGCTTATAATCGATTTGTTTATTCATGACAACGATAAGCCGAGACTGATATGTGACTTCTGTTCTTATGTGTCTGCTTGTTCAAATAGTTTTAGTGTGTGACCCAAAGTAAATGAAATTCTGAGAACGTTCAGCTTTTTAAATCACGTTCTTTAGAAAATGAAAGGAACAGCAGCACTGAGGAATCGCACGATCAGCTGAGAAGAGCAGATTAAATAACAGAAATAGACACTGTTTTCATTGGCCTAAAGAGGTTATAGTAATCGTAATGAATAGTTGAGCGCTTCTAATGGAAAACAGATGTTAACAATTCCACCCTTTTTTTGTTTATCACTTTTTTTTTTACAGTCTTTTAGGTTCAATAGACAAAATTTGCTTTTTTACGATGAAACAAAGCCATAACAAGCTTATACGGTTTTTACAAAAATGTCACACATACACCGATCAGGCATAACATTATGACCAAGCTGGTTTGCTGGTCTTACAATGTCAGTTCAGTGCACAGCAGTGTTAGCTTGCATGTAGGGGTGGGCGATATGGCAGAAATATTATATCACGATACTTCAAGGCATTTTCACGATACACAGTATGCATCACGATATTTAGTTTTTCTGAGATTTGTTGGAACCGAAAAAATAGACCCCACTTTATCAACGATCAGGCATAACATTCTGACCACCTCCTTGTTTCTACGCTCACTGTCCATTTTATCAGCTCCACTTACTATATAGGTGCACTTTGTAGTTCTACAGTTACAGACTGTAGTCCATCTGTTCCTCTGCATACTTTCTGTATACGTTCCGTATAGAACCATTTACACCACATTCTCCACTAATCTGAAGAACACTTTAATCATGCGAAGGATTCTTTGAGTGTTCATGGTTCTCTATAGAACCATTTTCTTCACTAAAGAACTCGAATCTTTTTAAGAGTGTAAACTTCAAAATGATTTCACGAAAAACTGCTTTTTAGCCTGCAGCTGCTGATGTAAGGAATATTTCAGCTTCAGCTGCTTTTTGAACAAGGCACAATGCAGGGCAACCAATCGGAGCAGAGCTCATTTACATATCAGTCTTAAAGACATAGTAACGGTTTCATTCTAAGGGATAAAGAGAGGTTGGAAAATAGTCACATAAAAATGAATTAGGACTGTTTTTGGTAAACGTAACACAGATGTTATTAAAATAAAATGCAAAACAAATGTGAGGATTTAATAAAACGTTAATGTACTATATTGATGTGGAAGTGATAATTAAGAGAATACTTTAACAGTGTGGTCACTTCGAGCTGTGTTTAGGTGCCGTCTGCAGGATGTCTGTGTGTTTCTGCATCACTAACTCTGTCCTCTCCTGTGCAGTGTGTACACCTGCGGTCCACCCCGGCCGCCCCGCCCGCCCCAGCCTGCTGGTGCTGCGGGCGGCCGAGTGAGGGGCCCTGCGCTCCTGGCATGGGCAGCGTGGGAAGTGGAGCCTCCAGCCAGCGGGCCATCACCATGCGCAGCGTGGGCACACGCACCACCCCCAACGGCCCCCTGGCAGCCCGCCGCCGCCTGGATGACCGCAGCTTCAGCGCCGACCGCCTGCCGCCGCCCGCCACCAAAACGGCCGGCGTGTCGGTGCCGGACGAGCCCAGCGGCTACAGCGGCCAGAGGGAGTGCCACGGCAATAGCCGCGACCCTTCCCACAACGCCTCTTCCTCCAACCGGCAGCACACCCTCAACGGGGAGCGACTGCCGTCCAGCTCCTCGTTCTCCAATGGTGGGGCGAGGAGAGAAGGCCACAGGCGGGGGGAGAGCATGGACCTGTGCGGAAACAGCATAGTCCTCACAAACGACAAGAACGGCAGCCACCAAGCGCCGCCGCAGCACAAGGACAAGAGCAAAGCCAAGACAGACAACCAAAACCCCCCCAACATCCTACCCGTCTCCGGCAAGCTGGAGCAAGCACAGGTACAGCACGGGGGTTGAGGTTGTCCTTTAGGCTACGTTCACATTAGCAGGCTGAAGTGGCACAAATCAGATTTTTTGCTCTAATGTGACTCAGATCTGATGTTTTCAGAGCTGTGTGGACACAAATCTGATCTTTTCAAATCCAACCTGAGTCACTTTCGTATGTGGTCCTAGATCGGATACGTATCTGATTAGTGGCCATGTGACCTTAATATGAAGCTCAGATCAGAATTCATGTGCTTTTTCTCCACTGCGCCATCATTCAGCGTTACCATGGCAGCAGCGCCGAACAGAAGTTAAAGCCTGTAAACGGTGGAAAAGCAGCTCATCTCACCTTTTTCTCCTTCGTCTCGCTCTAATAATGAAGCTGAGAGCTGATCAGAGTTAATTATCTTCTCAGCGAAGCTCGTTCTGCTCGTTAGTTTGTGCTGATGATGAACGTGATTCGTTCACGTGACGTTACTGAGTAGGATGAGCTCATGAGGGTCATTTCAGGACGCCGGTTTGTCACATTAATGACAGATTTGAATCACTTATCTAAACGAGTTTGAACCATCGTGTCAGAGATCGGATTTGAGAAAAAATCAGATTTGAGCAACGAGGCTTGTAATGTGAACGTAGCTTTAGCGATTGCTGTATTAAGTGTCTGATGAACTGGTGGTCATTCACTTGATTGGTTATGAAGTACGCCATGGAAGTATGTTGCTCCATTTAAACGACATCAGCGTGGCACAGGATGGAAGGAGAGGTGGAACGATTGTATGGCTGTCCAGCTTTTCCCTTTAAAGCGGCGTACTCAATCTCAAATAACCCAGGGGGCCAGTAGACAGGTGGTCTTCTCCTTGGGGGGGGGTTGCTGCAGTTGAAAAAATACAGGGAGAAAAGTGTCTCATGTATGTAATTAATTAATTCATTCATTCATTATTATTTAACTCATTCTTATGAGTAGTAGTAGGAACAGTAATTGTAATTGTAGTGTTTTAATACATATTTTAGTTAAGTAAACTTTAGGTTTAACAGTATAATTATAAAAGTGTTTAAAAGTGTTCCCATGCACTGTTTGTGTTAGCCGTCCTCTGGCCCTTCATCTGTGATTAGTTCATCACATTCATGTCTGGATATTTTGGAGTGGTGGACGACTCTCAGCCCAGCAGTGACAGTGAAAAGTGTGTAAAAACTCCAGCAACACCGCTGTGTCACTCCTACGAGCACTACACACACTGCCCGGTCAGCGACACTGCTGTGCTGAGAGTGGTTCACCTCCCAAATAATACCTGAACATCAGCAGTGCTTTCCATCTGATAAAGGCAGAGGTCAGCTTACTAATTGTGCTTAGTAATAAATGGGCTGTAGTCAGTAATTGTATAGACACACAGTTCAGGTGAATTAATCCTTCCCCCACTTCCTCTTTAGGACCCTGACACGCTGGTCCGTCCCTCTGCCTTCAAGCCAGTGGTCCCCAAGAGTTTCCACTCCATGCAGAACCTTGTGTGCCCCCTCCAGGCCAGTGCAGGTGCTGGAGGGGGTCCGGGCAGCAGTGGCAGTGGAGGCAGCGGAGGCGAGAGAACAGGGCAGGCTGCCTCCGCGGCCCGCCGCGAACAGGACAGTCCAAACAGCCGGGGGGGACCTCACTCTGGGGGTGGTCGGGCCGGTCAGGGCAGCATGTCGGACTCTGGGAGGAACTCGCTGACCAGTCTGCCCACCTACGCAGGCTCAGGCTACGGTCCCCCACCGGCCCTGGGGCCCCTCAGTGCCTCTACCAGTCACATCAACCGGCTGGGCACGGCTGGCCTGGACAAGCCGGACAGACCTGGCTACCAGAACGGCCTCAGCGCCTCAGACAGCGGCCACTCCTCTTCAGGCAAGAGCTCCTCGTCCTATCAACGGCTCAGCCACCTGAGCGATGCCCCCGCGCCTCTCCGGCCCTCGCCTTCCTCGGACGACGTCATCCGTGACCTGGAGGATCGCCTGTGGGAGAGAGAGCAAGAGGTGAGGGAGGAAGATACCTTCTGTTTTAGTTTGTTTACTGAGCTTTTCTTTTTCTTCTCTTTCAATATGTGAAATATATATACAGCAAAATACACAATGTGGCCAAAAGTATGCGGACACCCCTCCTAGTTATTGAGTTCAGTTGTTTTAACTGCATGTACGCCCGCACATAGCCATAAACAAGCACTGGCAGTAGAATGGGACGTACTGAAGAGCTCAGTGACTTTAAACATGGTGCTGTCAAAGGATGCCAACTTTGCCACAAGTCAGTTTGTTAAATTTCTGTCCTGCTAGATCTGCCCCGGTCAACTGTAAGTGATTTTACTGAAAAATGGAAGTGTCTATGAAGCTCTAGACCACGTAAGCCCATGGCAGGGGGGGGTGTACTATACTGTTATTTTTGCTTTGTTGATATTTTATTGCATGTACAGTACTAGGGCTGAAAGATTAATCGTTTTTATATAAAAATCGCAATTTTCAGATCACAAGAGCTGCAATTTTTTAAAAAATTATAGCCTAAAGTCTTCAAAAAGTCCTTTAAAAAGATCTTTAGTAAAGACAGTCATTCTATATAGAACACCCAACGACCCATGCTTAACAAGTTCTTTGCATGGTAAAATAGTTCTTAAGACTGAAGAAGAATGTGTTGTGTAGGGTTCTAGATAGAACCAAAAATGGTTCTACTATTGTTACGATGTCAGGCTTGTAACAATAGAAGAACATTTTGGTGCTATATAGAACCCTTTTTAAAAAGGTGCTATATAGAACCATATACAACACACTCTCCATCAATCTGAACAACTATTTCTAAGCATGCAAATCAGTTATTGAGTGTTTATTGTCTTAACTAAAGAAACCAAACCCCCATGTGTTGTGACATCACAACCACAACTTAGTGGCAGTTTGGCTCACTACATTCAGGGGTCGAGCCAGAAAAGGTGGATATTCTGGTTTTCCTGGCCAAAATAAATCAGGCCAGAATCACTATATATAAAAAAAATTGCAGTTTAAATTGCAGCTGCAATATTAGTTGGAAAAATGGCAATTTCATATTTTCCCCAAATCGTTCAGCCATATACAGTACTGTTCAAAAGTCAAATACCAAAATGGCCAAAAAGTAGATAAGATATAAAGGAGATGAGGAAATAAGATATAAGATAAGCAAGGAAGGAGAAAGTCAAAGGAAAAAGGAGAAAAACAAGTTTTTCACAGATATATTGAAAGATATAGAAAAGCTACAGACAAAATGGGACTCCTAATTAACTGTCCCCATCAGATTAACAGCAATTTAAGCTTTATTCACAATTTCTGTCCATCTTTCCACTGTGAGAAGACTCAACACTGTGGGTCTGAAAGGATGTGTAGCTGTCAAGAAGTCCTTACTAAGAAAAAGAAGAACTATGGCTACTTTCACATTACAAGCCTCATTGCTCAAATCTGATTTTTGCTCAAATCCGATCTCTCTGACACGATGGTTCACACTCGTTTAGGTAAGCGATTCAAATCTGTCATTAATGTGACGAACCGGCGTCCTGAAATGACCCTCATGAACTCATCCTACTCAGTAACGTCACGTGAATGAATCACGTTCATCATCGGCACCAACTAACGAGCAGAACGAGCTTCGCTGAGGAGATAATTAACTCTGATCAGCTCTCAGCTTCATTATTAGAGCGAGACGAAGGAGAAAAAGGTGAGATGAGCTGCTTTTCCACCTTTTACAAGCTTCAACGTCTGTTCAGCGCTGCTGCCATGGTAACGCTGAATGATGGCGCAGTGGAAAAAAAGCACATGAATTCCGATCTGAGCGTCACGTTAAGGTTGCATGGCCACGAATCGGATACGTATCCAATCTATGACCACATATGAAAGTGACTCAGGTCGGATCTGAAAAGATCAGATTTGTGTCCACACAGCCCTGAAATCATCAGATCTGAGTCACATTAGGGAAAAAACTCGAAATGGTTCCACTTCAACCTGGTAATGTGAACGTAGCCTAAGAAGCTGCTGGTGTTCTCAGAACAATGGACTGACCACCGCAGACCTCAGCATCACTGAATGTGGGATTACTCGGATCATAAAAAGCAGAAAATGCAGCCAACGTCCAAGACTGAACTTCGTAGGTGTGGAACTGTCTCTGCAGATGCCTTTGTAAAGCTGAAAGAGAGTCTCCTGAGAAGAACGCAAGCTGTAATAAAGGCAAAGCGGGAAACCCTTAAATTTAGTTGTTTATGCTCCTGTGTAATTTTTGTTAAATGCCTCTTTTCTGATCTTAGCTTTTCTCCTGATCCTGAAAAATGAATAAGATATAGTCATTTTTTGGTACTTCACGGCCATTTTGACTGTATATGAAAAGATGGAAGAGTTTCTCACGTTTGCTGAGTGCAGCACACGTTATTTTTGTGATGTTTGACACAGTATGACGGAAATGTAATGACGTGGTGCTCTTAACTTGTCCACCTTGTTATCAGTGGTATTTTGTTCAGTGTGCAATGCAATGCTCTGTCATAGGCCAAGAATAGGCTATATTAAAGTAACAGAATATGTCATTATATTGCCCAGCCCTATTTTGTGCAGTCCAGGTTTCTGTGTGGTGACGTGTGACTGAGAGCTCCAAGGAAGCTCTGCCACCTTCCACACGCTCTCTAACAGGTTTACCGTGAACCCCTTCAAGCACAGTTTTGATGATTCTTGTCTTAGGTGCTCCACATGCGGCGGAACTTGGACCAGAGCGAGGCGGCCATCGCGCAGGTCTTTGAGGAGAAACAGCGGGTTTGGGAGCGTGAGATGGAGGAACTGAGGCAGAACTACGCGGGGCGGCTGCAGCAGGTGACCCGCCGCGCACAGCGCTCGCAGCAGGCCCTTCAGGCCCAGATCACCCGCCTGCAGCAGGACAAGCGCCGGCTCCAGGACGAGATGACCCTGCTGCTGGCCCAGCGTGAGGAGCTGGAGAAGAAGTGCCTGGACTACAGGAAGGAGCAGGCTGACCTGCTGCCCAAACTGGAGGAGACCAAGTGGGAGGTGAGAGAACGGCGATCAGTGGTTCCTCAAAAAGAGCCTAATCTGTGATAGATAATCAATTATAATGAACAATACGCTGTACTCTGGTTTAACAACAGTTAGTGGTCATCCTTTCACCCAGAATGTAATCATTCTACAGAAACGTCCACTTTTTTTATCTGTCCATAGGAGTCACTGGTGTAACTGATCGTCATTGGTGTTACACATAAGAAGGGTAACACCAGAGACATTCTTAATGAAAAAATGTCTGCCACAGAGCATCAAACCGCATGTTGTCAATCGTGGAATATCCACTAAAATATGTAATTTAATCCATTTGTATTCTATTTTTCCACAATTACCTCAGAATAAAGTCGGTCACGCCAGTGACTTCAGCTAAAAGCTTCATATGAAATCATGAGCTGAATGAGAAAATCTCTGATAACTGAAAGACACAGTGGACTCACCATGTGCTTTTCTTCATAGATCCTCAGAAAACAGGTAAAAGGAAGTCGAGTGATGTCATCAGTGTGACTTTTATTTCAAAATAAGAGATTTTTTGTTACGCAGTAACTCCAGTGACTCGACTCCTGGGGAACTTTCATTATATATTTTATAATATTTATTTGCCATTTGTTTTCTTTATGTTATTTAAATCATATATTTCATAGTCATGTAGAGATTATTGCAGTTAAAACTGCAGAAAAACATTTTTCACCTCAAAATATGGCCTCACCCTTTACACATGACTGTGAGGACGAGTGGTGCTTGGAAATCTACATGATCAGTTTATAAACCAAGATTGATAAATTGAGGCTCAAGAAGGTGTAATTGTTAAAATGACAAGCTTTTGTTCTGACAGCGACGAGATATAAAAATAATATAATAGAAGTATGTTCTCTCTAAAGGATGTTTTAACTTATTTACCCTTAGAAAATACAAATTTGACTGTAGTCATCCTTTGGATTTGGGTACAGATTACATTACATTATTGCATTATTATTTAACAGGTAATCTGTACCGAAATATAGTTTTAAAGTAACTTCCTACCTTCTACCTAAATCCTGAATTAGAGACATGAGTTCAGTGACAACGCAAGATTACCTGGAGCCTTTTTGTGTGGCTGTATGGATGTCACCCCCTCACCTTGCTCTCCAGGTGTGTCAGAAGGCAGGTGAGATCTCCCTGCTGAAGCAGCAGCTCCGGGACAGCCAGGGCGAGGTGACCCAGCGGGCGGGTGAGATGGTGGCCCTGCGCAATCAGCTGAAGGAGCTGAATGCCCAGCTGAGGGAGAGGGAGGAGGCCGAGATCAGCCTGAAAGAGTCCTTCTGCACCAAGACTCTGGAGCTGGAGCGCTGTGAGGCCGAGCTGCAGGCCATGCTGGCAGAGGTGCAGATTCAACCCCAAACCCAGCTCATCAACATTTATCTGTTCAGTACATCATTACACTCAAAATTACGACGGCGTTTTGGGCCACTTTTAGTAAAAAATAAAAATAGTAGACTTTGAGAAAAAAGTCATACTATTTCGAGAATAAAGACGTAATATTTCGAGAAAAAAAGTTGTAATATTTCGAGAATGAAGTCGTAATATTTCGAGAATAAAGTCGTAATATTTTGAGGAAAAAAAGTCATAATATTTTGAGAAAAAAAGTCATAATATTTCGAGAATGAAGTTGTAATATTTCAAGAATAAAGTCGTAATATTTCGAGAAAAAAGTCGTAATATTTCAAGAAAAAAGTCATAATATTTTGAGAATAAAGTAGTAATATTTAGAGAAAAAAAGTTGCAATATTTCAAGAATAAAGTCATAATATTTCGAGAAAAAAAGTCATACTATTTCAGGAATAAAGTCGTAATATTTCGAGAATAAAGTTGTAATATTTTGATAACAAACGTCGTAATATTTTGAGAAAAAGCCATACTATTTTGAGAATAAAGTTGTAATATTTAGAGAAAAAAGTCGTAATATTTCAAGAAAAAAGTCGTAATATTTCAAGAATAAAGTCGTAATATTTCGAGAATAAAGTCATAATATTTTGAGAAAAAAGTTGTAACATTTCGTGAATAAAGTCGTAATATTTCGAGAAAAAAGTCATAATATTTAGAGAATAAAGTCGTAATATTTGGAGGATAAAGTAGGCTAACTGTAGGGGGCTGCCATAACGCATTGGGGTCTTGGTTGCAGTACTGGAGCCGGAGCTCCACTCACTCCTGTCTGTTTGTGGATCATTTTGATCTTCATTCTCACTGTCTGTGAAACTTCATACCCTCTTTGAATGGGGGGAGATGAAGCCCCCGATACTTATTTCTGTTTCTTATATTAATAACAGGCTGGTGCTGATGTGCAGGAGAGACAGGGAGACTGAGTGTTTCTTTATGTGTGAATCGATATGAAAGTATAACTCCACCAACTCACCGCCCCTCATTTAACATGAGGAGGTGCTGCCTTCCCTTCGCAAAGCCTTTGGCCACAATACTGCGACCTTTCCTGGTATTAATGCCACTTCAATGACGTAACTCTACGACTTTTTTCTCGAAATATTACGACTTTTTTTCTTTAAATATTACGACTTTATTCTCGAAGTCTACTATTTTTATTTTTATTAACAGTGGCCCTAAAATGGCGTCGTACAAAATACAGCCTCTTATCATTTTCATGCTTTCAGTGTTTGAACAGCAGGCATTGGAAAGGCAGTAGTTGTTATGTCTGCTTTTTGCATTAGTTCTCTTACATTTTTATGAGTGCAGTACTGGGGCAGTCATGTCATATACATGTGGTTCCTGCTTTGCTTTGAATAACACTCCTAAATCAGCTCATCAGTTAATTATTATCTCTTTTAACTTAATTTCTGTGCAACTTGACAGTTATATGAAGCAATTCAAGACCAAATTCCAGTGAGAAACTCATTCCATCACTGCACTAGTTAACCAAACTAGCGGATCAGATTTTTTTAAAGCATCGTATCACTCTGACTACATAAGCTGAACTGGGATGATGTACAATTGCAGCATTTTTATTGTCTTTGTATAATTTCCCAGCTGTCATTGCCATTCTTTTTCCTACAGTGTAAAAATATGTGAAAGGAAAAGTGAAAATGAGTTTACACATCATCTACAGAGGACACACTTCTTCATGTTTTAATGCACAATTACTGTTTATATGTTGATTCACTCAAAAGAGGCCCCGCATATTCTGTCGTAACTCCCGACAGGATGAAGCAATCTGAACCAAAAAAATATGCTACATATCTTGACGTATGTGTAATCGATTGCATTACATGCGATGCTGGAAGTGATCTCCCTTTACTGCCAGACACATGAAGGGGTAGTGGGGTCTGCACCCGGAAGTTGCAAACGGAGGTTAAATGTCGTGACGGCTGTCCGGCGCCTACCTCATCGCTCCGATGCAGGGGCATCCCGGCTTGTTCGAAGCTCCATATACTGATGAGCACATTGCACGTTGTTTTGTTCAGATTGCTTCGTCCTAGCGAGAGTTATTACAGAATATTCGGGGCCTCTTTCGAGTGAATCTCCCTGTATAAATACCCTCACCCTTCCATCTTTCTCAGGTGTCCGTGCTGAGAGACAAGCTGTGTGCATTCGAGACGGAGGTGGCTGGGCTGAAGAAAGCCCTGAGTGAGCTTAGCACCACCGCTAGTGCTCGCGCACCTGAATCCAGCTTGGCTGACATGGGTCAGCTGGTGCTGTCCCGGAGCCGGGAGCGCCTCCTTTCCCCTCTGAGCCCCCCGGAGACCCCCACCTCTTCTATGCCAGCCTCCCTCCCTCCCCTCCCGGCCCTTCCAGCCCTCCCGGCCCTGCCCCCTCTCCCCGCTCCCGCCCAGCTGCCGGCACCGGACCCGCTGCTCAGCCTGCAGAGCGACGACTCGAAGGCGCAGCGGCAGGAGGCGGGCGACCTGCGGCGGCAGCTGGAGCTTCTGCAGGGCGAGCTGCGTCTGGAGCGGCAGCAGCGCGAGCGGCAGGCCCTCAGCTTCGCCCAGGAGCGCCAGACGTGGCAGGGCGAGAAGGAGCGCGTGCTCAAGTACCAGGCGCAGCTGCAGCTCAGCTATGTGGAGATGCTGCAGAAGAACCAGGCGCTGGAGGAGCGCGTGGACCAGCTCGGGGCACAGCTGTCCACTCCTGTCCTGGCTCTGCCCGCCTCTCCGGCCTCGCCGCCGCCGCCAGCGGCCAGCCCGGACGTCCAGACGCCGGCGCCCGTGGCCATATCGCTCACTTCCCCGACTCCGCCAGCAGAGGAGAAGAAGCTGCACCAGCTGGCGCCTCCTTGGCCCGTCCCGACTCGCCTGGAGAGGATCGAGTCGACGGAGATCTGATCTGACGGCGGCGAATGTGACCTCTTTGATGCAGTAAAATAAACAGCTTAGAGCACCGATTACAATAGCGATTACAATTACAGTTGTACAAAAGTACAAATGAGTACAAAAACCCCTGAAACAAAAAATGAAAAAGGTCATGCCTACAGCTTCTGAGGACAGTCCAAGGATGCCCTGCTGAGTGAGGCAGAGGTCAGGGTTGAGGGGTAAATATGTTTGCGTGGCCTTATTGACTTGACCTATAGGGAAAACAGCTCTGTGGCTTAGTTGGATTCGGTCTGGTTTGGTTGTAGAAAGAGCTGGCCCTGAGTCTGTAGCCAAGGGGAAGACAGAAGTACCTGGATTTAACACTCAGGGGACAAGGGATCAGGCATTAATAATCCAGACTTAAGGCTAGACTGTTGGAGCTTTTTAGCCACGGTGCCCTCTTAGCTGGAGAGCGGCTACCTGACACCATTCGCGATGACAAATTCACATATCGACTTGGTTAAATCTCTATAGAAATCTATAATCAGTCTCAACCAATGGCAGATCTTATTAAATAAAACACTGTGGGTATTAGATAAACAACATCTCTCTTAAATACTGCTCCTCAGACAAACCCCAAGCCCGCAACGACGATGTAAACAAGATAGAATCCGAAATAACTGAAAAGACTCTTATTTTGTTGTTTGTTTACTCCAGTGAGAAGCTATGGGAAGACCTGATGTCTTCCCGTTTATGGTGCTTGTCCATACCACACAAGTGTGGTGAACAGAAGGACCAAATATTTCTGAGCTGGTGCCGGTCTCGAGTTCCCTTAGTAGTGGATGTAGTCGCAGTAATTATTACCAGCGGACTCCAAGGCCTGGTGTGCGTTTTTGCATAAGAGCGTGCCTCAACCCTCCTGCTCTGTTAGCGAAAGCAGTGGCGGAGGACTTATCACATGGTCATTTGACTCAGAGCGTATTTACCAGAACATTTGTGTTTAAATTTTATCTTGCCTTTTTTTGTTCCAACCTTTCCAAAAACAGTGTAGAATATATTAGAGAGAAAGAGAGAGAGGTATTAAAAATAAAATAGGTTAACGCACTTTGGTTTCTTTTTCAAGAGAGCGCTTGTTTTGCGAGTTGTTAATGATCAGCGTCTGCTGAAAGTTTGATGTTTGGTTTATGAAGCTGCTAGTTAGTGGGAGGAGTCCAGCGGCTGAGCCAAAAAACAGCAAAATAAAAAACAGTGCTAAGAGGGCAATCGGAACAGTTTGTGGAGCCGGAAGCGCTTCTAAAGCGCGCTCCCTCCGCCGTTAACGAGTTAGATTTGAGCAGGACCTTACATTCTTCCAAAAAACACACAAAAAACAAAAAAAAAAAGGAGAGAATATGTGTCAATGTATACTTTCTGAAAGTATCATTTAGAATATTTGACTTCAAAAAATATATATATATATAATATGCAGTAGATTGAAGTGATGTTTTGAAGTAAGTACACCGTGTACACAGGCTATGTTGCCATATTTGAATGGGTTATAAAGACCGAAAAACGTCAGTCGTGTGCTTGTTGACGGGGATTAGGTAGTGAGGTTGTGTAGTGTGGATTAAGACCGAGGAAAAAATAAAAGGTTTAGATACATTTACAAAGGGTGGTGATGGGAAAGAGATGGTAGCATTCAATAAAAATAAAACTGAACAACAAAAAACGGCAACACTTTACTGTAGGGTTCTGTTCATAAGGCTGTGTGACACTTACATAAGCTTGTCATGACAACTGACATAACCCTACATTATAGGTACATTTATTAATGCTTATTCCAACAGGCGTCATCGGTCATAAAGGCTACTTTAGCTGACTTTGATCAAAAATTGACGAATGTAACCTTTATAGCGAATGACATTTGCTGGAAAAAGCATTTATAAACAGCTATGTAGGGTTATGTCAGTTGTCTTAACAAGCTTATGTAGAAGTCATGTAGCCTTATGAACAGTACCCTACAGTAAAGTGTTGCCCAAAAAACACCTTTTGTCACAAAGCCTACAGCTGTATCATAAGTTCTGTTGTACCACCATCATAGATCCAACAGATTAGCTTAAAATTGTGTCCCTGGTCTCTGGCTAAGGCTTAATCTCCATCCCATCTTGAATTGAGGCGCTTTTGTAACCCTTGTAAGTCAAGAGTCGTTACTTTCATTTCCTATACAGTTTAGATGGAAAATGTAATGTATTAATAACACAGAGTGCAATGAATAACATTTACATTTTAGTTAAATTCTTTGTTCAAGTTTGTAATTTTGGCTTTTTTCTGTTCGATTCGATATTAAGAAATGACAAAAATGTGTCAAAAATGGCAAAAAAAAAGCCTGTATGCACAACTATAACGTCAAGTTCAGTTCATAATAAAAAATTTTAAAATCTTCTGCCTCTTCACCGAAACCGAAATTCAGACCGAAACCGAAATTCAGACCGAAACTGAAATTCAGACCGAAACCGAAATTCAGACCGAAACCAAACCGATTTTGTAGTTGTTTTATTTATGCTGTCGAATTAACATAATAATGCTGACGATGCTTCAAATGAGATCAAACAAATTTTTACTCAGTAATTTATTCAACCTAAATAATGTTAATAATTAATAATTAATGAAATAATTAATTAATTAAGTTTCATTCCCTTTTACTGTTAAAACAGTTGATTACTGATTGATACTATGGGGCATTAATAAGCCGTTAGGTTACAGTTAAATTCCCTGTTGTCTCTGTCGCAGGTTTCCCAGAGTGCGGCATAAATTCTCAGGAAAGTTCTCCCTGTTTTCTGTACAGCTTAAGTGTCCCGATGGTTCTCCAGTAAAATATTACTCCATGGTTTCAATTATAATCTGAATTTCTTAACAGAAAAGGCTTCATTTAATTATTTATTATTTATTAATATTTTATTATTTGATTATTTAATACACAACGCACACGGATGTGACTTTGGAACTCACTTCTCACATCTAGTAGCCTTCTCCAGCAGGGGGCGATATTAGAACGAAAGCCCCTTTAGTGCGTCATTCGAAGAGAAGAAATGTGAACCTCGGCAGGTTCTGATGAATGCAGGTGTTTGCAGTAAGAACCTTCAGAACCAATCATTTAATATGTTATTTTCATTCAATTATTTAATTATTTAAAACATCATTTAAGCTAAAGACGGCATCGTCGGGCTCTAAGCTACAGCGGACCGTGTTTGAGTGTGATTCACTGTTGAGTGTGTTTCACTGCTGCTACTCCGACTGTTTGAACACATCTGTGCTGATGAGTTAAGGAGTGCGAAGGAAACATATGGCATCTTTATTGCTTATTTTCATTCAGATTATTTGTTAAGGGTTTGAATTTAAAGTTCTGTTGTAAATGTGTTTAATCAGTAGCTTTTTTTTGCACGGACAGTAGTGCTTTGGACCGTTTTTCTGCATTTTTATGTACTATTTAACATTTTCATTACCATTGAAATTATTTAAGCGTTAGATTTTGACAGTTCGTTGGTTTGTTCGTCTAAAATCTTCTGCCTTTTTTTTCTCTTCCACCCCAAAAATGGAAAGTGCCGCTTTCAACCATTTTCGCCCTTTTTTATTCACTATTTAACATTTTCATTATCATTAAAATTAAGTGTTAAACTTTGTTGTAGATCTGTTTAACCTTTTTTCAGACCGTTTTTCTGCATTTTTATGTACTATTTAACATTTTCATTACGGTTAAAATTATTTAAGCGTTAGATTTTGACAGTTCGTTGTTTTTTTCGTCTAAAATCTTCTGCCTATTTCTTCTCCTCCGCCCCAAAAATGGAAAGTACCATTTTCGCCAGTTTTTATTCACTATTTAACATTTTCATTATCATTAAAATGAAGGGTTAGACACTTAGTTGTAGATCTGTTGAATCTTTTTTCAGCTAAAATATTCTGCCTTTTTTCTTCTCTTTTGCCCCAGAAATGAAAAGTGCCACTTTCGACCATTTCTGGCTGAAAATTTTCGGTGGTGCATCCCTAACTGAAAGTTTAAAATCTGCACTTTCCACAGAATTTGGCCGATTTTTTCAATAAACCTTTGAGTGAGAAGTCATGAACAACAAATGACACCATGCTTTCCTATTGCCAGAGATAACTGCGACTGTTAAGGGTTAATGATGATGGCTGAAAGCTTTATACCATATATCATACATCATATATATCATACAGAGAAATAGTAATAAAACTAATAAGTACAGATGATGGGAGAATTAAAGAGGTTAGGCTGTTACGTGAGACCCTCAACAGCCTTGTCTGCCAACACTACATGCGTAACACCTCTATTCCTATACATCCCAGTAGAAACGCTGCTGTGACGGACCTTCAGAGCGACAGATTTCAGCCAGTAGGGTTTTAAACTGCTGTAATCTTTGTCCCACACACTTCACGTGCCATCACGACCGGCGTGGCGAGGCGTCTGAGATTAATTACTGAGCTGAGAGATTATCCGATCTTTTTGTAGCTTTATGACATTGGGTGTTAAGCGAGGCATAACCTACAAAGCTTTAGATGGACACCACCCCTCTACTGTCTTTGGCCACATTTGCTGCTATGTAATTCTGTTGTGTCCTGCTGTGTTCTTGGTAGAGACAAAGGGGCAGTCGACTGCATGTAAATATCATTGTTATTTATGTGTACATATCTATTCTATCCAAATATACCGAGCTATTGCGTGTGAATACTTTTGTGAATTAATGAGACTGACATGTCAGCTTTTATTTTTCAAACTTATCGATATAGGAATATAATATAATATATAAATCTTTAAAATTTCAATCGGCCATTACATGTTACAATCAAGGTACGTACATGGAAGCCCCCCGATGTCTTTCCCCCCCGCACCCTCCTCTGTCTCACAGTTCTTGAATTGTACAAAGGGAGGACGAACTGTCACCAATGTTTTCATTCTGATTTTTTATGCTTCAGAATCGCTTGGGAAAAAAAGCATATCTTAGCAAATATGAATTCAAATAATAAAGATGTGAATAAAAAATAAACCGACCATGTATTAACTTATTTTTTGATTGATTTATTGGTTCTGTAGTCAAATTGGGGGACAAAATGAGTCTAAGAAATTTGTCTCTGCAAAACTGGAACATCAGTTCATTCACACCTAAAGTGATGCACATACATTCATTCATTTAATGCAGAGTAAACCTTCGTAAGGATGATTATGCAACAGCTCTGCCAATAAACAAATACGAAAAAAAAAATACAGCAAATAATTCTTCGAAGAACTCCAATTTCCGATGAGACAAGGATACATAAAGGGGAACTCCACCTATTTTTCACAATTTCTACCTAATTAAGTCGTTCAGGGTAGTTTGATGTAAAATGGTTCCTTGCAGAGAAATGTATACTGGTGGTGATGGGTAATCAGCGGTCACAACGGTTCAACACAAACTATCTGGCTACTATCCAGTGACCCTACCCATGTCTTCTGAGTTTTCATGTAATGTTAATGATATTAAAATAGTGACAAATCTGAAGAAATATACTTTTTGGGGACTATTTTGTCTCCTGCATGTGCCCCTCCACCATGAATGCGTTCTACAAAGTACATATCAGGCCAGAATTTTCATAAAACTGTCTCGGGCATCAGGCAGTGGATCTATAACCATTTCATGCAATAACTTTCTGTAAGGGAGTTCTGGATGTCTGGTTCCTATCACCACCACTGTTAACAGACTCTGGCTAAAATGGAGCATTTCACACCAAAGCGCTATAACACACTTTGTTTATGTATTAATTGAATTATGCAGATATATATTTTTGAAAAATCAGTGGAATTCCCCTTTTAAAAACACTAGAGGGCCTCAGTTCAGCACAGTTTGATGATTTTTCTGCTCATATGCTGTATTTTAACTCAGCAGTCATCAGATTTAGAGCTGAATTCTGATCCTCCAGCATCAGAGCTCCTTTAAGAGTGACATCATGTTTGAAATTGAGTT